CTAAAGCAGCGCTAGATTCGCACTGCGTCCGGCGCATGCAACCAACAAGGTGTGCGGAAGGAGGTGAAGACACAGGCATAGGTCCCACCAACTTGCATGTATTTTCTCTTGATGCTATAGCGCCAACGCTTGCTGCATGGACCATAGGTGTTTTTCGAGTCTGCACGATCTGTTGCTGATGGATCGACCCATAGCAGTGGGCGTACTAATCTCTATTCAGAGACCGCAACATGGCTGTTCACCTGCAGCCGGATTGAGCTCTCACCTCTGTTTGGATATGCCATCGCTTTACCGTGTGTGGATGTACTGTATGGGCCAGAGTTACCAGCGACGACTCGACGATAAGTCTTTGATAGCAGCACAAGATGCCGTCCGTTCTTGGAGTAAAAGACCGGACTCAGGATGTTCCCGACAACGAGGCCAACGAGAACACTGGACCCCGGGAGCGGATGCTTGAGTAGTGCTTCCGGGACCCACGAACCGAGTTCTAGACTCCACGGGCCGACGATATTAGCGTTTGATACTCCCCTTCCAATGGTAGTTGAAAATGGTCTAGAGGCATCTGTCTAGGATCATGCTTGCGCTGGAGTCTGGTGCTCTATGCTCGAAGATCTGAGGCAACCCAACCCATGGTTTCGAGGAGCTGTGCGTGACCACGCTGATTAGACAATGGAAAACATTGTACTGATTACGCTCACCACTTGAGTATCGGGGGGAATATCTAGCTTGATTCGGGTTTGGAAGAAGTTATGACAGAAAAGCTGAAGTCTAAATACGAGATCATCAACGTTGGAAGAGAACTCTTGGTGTCACAGAAAATGATACACTGCAATATTGGTCGCACGGCTAGGTGAATGTACAGACCATCGTGAATCGCTCTAATCATCCAACAAATGGCCTGGAAATAGGACGTCATAACACCAATAGATGATTTAGAGAGGGGCCGCAAGTGAAGAGGCCATCAATATCAACACTCTGTTTTGTTCCACATTTTCAATGGTCAGCCACCGTGAAGCCTTTGACGAAGTGCTGGAACGAACCCCATTCGCCATCAACGTGCATGAACTAGGGGGCCACCGTGAGAGGTGCAGAGAACGCGACAGTGCGCTGAAAGGCCTTCGCTCAAGCCCCTGGACGAGCTGGACTCGATTCAGCAACGTACTATCCGTACCCTCAGCAGCACTGGGTTCTGGGCTCGCAGTGCGCTCTGACCCGCCCTAGGGGTCGATCGGTGAGGCTGGGGTTTCTTGCCACCACTGAGAACCCCAACGAGCTGGAAAAGGAGGAGGTTGGGCGGTGGTCCCAAATGGTTAAGCATAACCCCAGCTAGTTAATTGATCTCAATGCATTGAGTGACCAGGATGTCTGTCAATTAAACTCATTCCACTGTATAAATGCGTGATATGCCATGACGAAATGGTGTTGATGATAAGCCGTAGTCAGGAGATCTGCCAATCACACAATCTGAGAGAACAAGGAGGCTTGGAGTGCTGAACGGCGTCTGGCACGACCATGGAAGTTCACGGTGATCTGGCCTGGTGGTGTCTTAATGTAGGAAAATCTGGTGCGCGCCTTCCCCGTGCTTGGATAAATCGGAGGCTGATTGTGATGCATCACGCCTTGACAGGACTGGAAGTGTGCTGAACTGTAAGTATCCTTGCTTGTCTTGCTCACGGCAGGATTCTATTCGGGGAGTTTGATCGATGATCAACACCCGCGGGCTGCTGGCTGCAGCAGACTCCTCGTGGTAGACGGTGCATGATGCAATGGGATGGCTATTTAATTAGAGAGAAGCCCCCCCGGACCCAAAAGGAAGACGCCTAGAAACGACTTGGGTGAACTCCTGCACGCAAACTAGGGAACCAGCATGCTGGGGGGCTGCATATCGCTTTTAGTGCACGAGGGTCAAAGACCGTATAGTGAGTGTCACTGAGTGGCCAGCCAGTATCGCTCGCTTTATCAGCAGACATGTGATGCATCTCTGGCGACATCTCGCAGCGAACAGACAACGCCCTAGATCGCTTCGGGAGAGAGGGAGGGGCCCATCCCACGCCCACATTGGACGAGACCTTGTGAAGATGGTCCCGAATGGCCGTGATGGAGGGGTCACTATGCTGAAGAGGGGGATGAGAGGCGACGAAGCGGGTTGGCTGTAAATCTCTTCGAGGTTTCTTCTCCCGCACGCGGACACCCACCAGCATGCTTCGTCAGTATGTGCGTGCACACACACTCACACAGAGTCTGTATGCGCCGTCAGTAAGGGAGTGACCAATTTCTTCTTCCGTGTCCTGATGGTGGTGGTGGTGGCGGCGTAAGCACATCTTCTTCTTCTTGGGGGCGGCCTTTGCCATAACTGCGTTAGAAAGACAGACCAGCCCTTGGTTTGCATTCTCTTAAAAGTCCAGAGTCTGGTGTGTCTCAGGCCATGATCGTTCTTTCCTTCACAACGTCTTGCCTGCTCCACCATCTCCTTCCTGCCTCTAGAAGAGTCAATTTTCTATCAACGCATCGCACACGTCATATCGCCGCCTGGACGGCAAAGAAACTGTGCGCCTTCTTTTCTCTGTATTATACATATGAGCGAGCACATATATAATTGTCTCATCTGCCGTCTCCGGTCAATCGTACATAGTCTGGGCTTTTCCGCTGTACAATACTGTACAATATCGCTGCTGCCCCGCTCCTGGTTCCTGAGCGGCCAGCTGCCATCGCATCGCATCACAATCAGAACCATCAGTTGGAAGAGCACCGGCATATTCCACCATCCGTCGGCTGTCTCGGTTGCACATGTAGGAGCCCGCCTGTAATACTTACTGTGTTGCGAATTGGACAAACAGGGTGCTCGACCTGTCGCATTCGGAGCATCCTAAAGAGGCGCATCGCAAAGCGGCAGTTGGTGGCAGTGGTCGTCGCAACGACAATAACTCCTATAAATCGACCTCTTGATCCGGGCTGACCGGACGAGCCCTTCTATCAATCCAACCCTTGAATGACTCGACCCTGTGCCGGGCCGAATTGTTGTTTGCAGGCCGTCTGGATCGACCGACCTTACCGGCTGCCTCATTCCTGGGCTGTCCTGTCTTGCGCGTGTTCGTATTCACCGGACGTGCCAATGTCTTTGGCTGTGAGGAGGAATATCAATCATTATTAACGTTAGCGGCGCCGCGCTTGAGACCTCCCGCTCTTCCGGCCAGGCACCGTTCCAGGATCAACGACACGACGGCTCCCCAACCATCTGGGACCCTTGCACAGCACTTTCCAGAAGGACTACGCCTGCGATTGAGAAAACCGAAAAATTTTCCCTCGGCGAGCCGTTATTCACGTTAGTGGGCTTCCAGGATATGAGATCCGCTGCCGCGACGTTGGAAGCCTGAACAAGTGCTACCAGCTTCCCTGCTTCTCCCAGCCCGTGGGTATCAGAGTCATCTCGCTTACTTGTGCTGGTAAATTGGCCTGGGGTGAACAGGCTCGGGAGGCGTCCACCAAAACGTCCAGGATAGCCCCTCCCCGGGCGCAGACTTTTCACCAGGGACAGTACGGACAGGGAACTAATTGATACCATTCATCGAGGTTTGGTGCCCATTGCGACCCGTCGGAGTGGAAGGTTAGAGCGTGTGAATCACAACTTCGACCAGTGACTCTCAGCAACAGAGCCCAGGGGTCGCTGATTGCTGATTTTCACTGAGGGGCGGCTATCAGTCACAATTGCAATATCGAGCGACATTCGATCGGCCTATCTTCCCAACCAACTGGATCGCAAGATAATTAGCCAGAGGAGCCACTGAGCAAGCGAAGCAATTGCAGTTACGCTCAGTCACTCAGTTACTTGGTCGCACGTTCACCCATTCGTGTGCTCCCGCTGGACTGTTGCGCAAAGGCCCCTATTTTCTTTCCCCTTTTAATTCAACAAGTAACAACCGTCTTGCTATTTTCAGCGAGGCGTGGGAGTCAGCAGTGCATAAAGCAGCACTGCAGCTGAGCAGCGCCGGTTCTACAGAGGCTAAAACCGTCTTCTACAGCCTACAGGAGCATAGCACATTGCGACAGGCGCCTGATTGGCCTGCAGGCGACGACCTCTCAGCTTGTCCCATCTTCACAGGTTCTCACAGCGAGGTCCTGCAGTGCGAGAGAGAAGGTGGCCGAACAGTGTGGGCCATTGTGGCTGGTTCTCCTTCACTCTGTGTGTTCGTCTTGGTCAGGGGTGAGCGAGAGTGACTAATCCCCAAGGGGGACAAGTACCCTCCTATTGCCACCCCTCCACCAACGCCCACGAGGGACGGCAGGAAGAGACTCCATCAGAAGTCACTCTCTCGGAGCGGCCAGGGGCCCCTGTCACTCCTGTTTAGCGTGCGCTGGCATCTTGCAAGGGCTTGCCTGCTTGTACCGTCGTACCTGGCACACACCTACGGAGTGACCTAGAGTGCGGTACCACACGCGCTCCACCGACCTCCTCATCCCCTTGGACTCTTCCCGAAAAATATACATAAGCCAGAACACACCAACCATCTCCCTATTTCCAACCTCCTTCTTCTACTTGAACATTTTGGCTTCTGCCAACTCAATCGTCTTTACATCACGCTTTCGGCCACGCTTACAAAAACGACTCCGTTCGTTGCCCCAAACCAAGACGTCATCAGCTGATCTGGACTCCTCGAACAGTCCAGTCACTTCCAGAACCAGCACCGTGCCTCCTTTGTGTGTCACGGCCTTGGAACTACTATATCGCCAGCACTTGTTCGCTCGGACGATATTAACACCACACCTTTGACATGTTCTCAGAAAGAAGACGGTTTTCCTCTCCTCTTCCTACCGACCACATACCAAGGTGACTGGCGTCACTACTCCCCGCGTCACGACACCGGCGCGACGAACTGGACTAGAAAAGAAAAAGTAAAAAAAAAAAGTATAAAAACAAACGAGCTGTCGGGGGTAGTAGAGTAGCAGAGTTTTTTTTTTTTGCTGTTCTGGATGTCAGTTGGATATCGCAAGCAGCCGAAAACATGAACAGCTACTCGCCCTACGGCTCCACTCCCAGCCATACCCAGGACTATCGCGACTACGACAAGTTCGCGAGCCCTTCACCCACTCCGTCACCGCGAGGGCCTCACCAGTTCTACAACATGGCCTCCCATCAGCAGCGGCCAGCGACCCGCGCGCATTTCCGCAACATGAGCAGCGGCCTGAATGACTTCTCCAGCCCGCGACCCGCGGCCTTCTCGCCGCGGTACACGAGCGATGGCCTCTACGCCACTGCCAATGTGAGTGCATCGCGATCATCGCGGAAACAGTCATTCTCGTCGGGCTCGCGCCCCAAAACGCGCGAGCGTCGCAACTCATTTTCCTACTGGCGGGCCTCAGACTCTTATGGGGAATCCGACGAGGACGAGTACATCGAGATCAACGGCATCATGTATATGTTGCCCGCGCGATCGAGGTCCAAGCGATACAAGGACTATTATTCTACTACTAATGCTGGTGGTGTACGTGGAACTGATCACCCCCGCTATGCACAGGGTTCACCGTATCGACCAGAGCACGTCGACAGAGACCCATACGAGTCCCCTCGCTACCAGGAAGAGCAGCGACGGCCTACGGCGCACCACTCTCGCCGAGGCTCGACCTCTATCCCCCAGCGCCCTCAGACCGCGCGACCCGCCAGCTCTCACACCAAGAAGCCGCCCGCCGCCCCGAAGGCCACCGAGGCCGACGCCAAGAAGCATCGTATCCCGCCAGGCTACTCACTAAAGAACTGGGACCCGACGGAGGAGCCGATCATGCTGTTGGGAAGTGTCTTTGACGCCAACTCTTTGGGGAAGTGGATCTATGATTGGACTGTCTACCATCATGGACCCTCGACCCCTATCTCGGATATGGCAGGAGAGATGTGGTTGTTGTTGATCCAGCTGGCAGGCAAGGTCAAGCGAGCCGAGGACAGCATCCCCAAGATCCGTGCCCTGGAGAACAAGGAGATGGTGGAGGATTTCATTGAGTCTGGCGAGCGCCTCACCGACAAGCTTCGCAAGCTGCTCAAGGCCTGCGAGACTCCCATGCTGAAGTCCAGCAAGAAAAAGGACAGCCAGCTAGGCAAGAACGCCGGTATCGAGTTCGTCGAGACCATGTTCGGCCGCGAGCGCGAGTTGGAGAAGACGGAGCGTTTCATGCAGTCCGTCCGCCTCTGGAACCTACGCTTCGACGCCAACTGCGAGGACATCCTGAAGAGACCTACCCAGTAATTTCTTCTTGGACATCTGGCCCTTTTCCTGTTTCCATGGACTATCTACCTATACCTTGTTGGACTAATGTATTATGTCTAACTTACAAATCACTAGAGCTTCTCCTGAAGAGCAAGAGCGACTTCCAAAAGCGGAGGTCAACCGACTGGACCGCTTCGATGATAAGAAGACGATGAAGAAGCAAGATTGAGGAGCGCAAGTTGTACGATTAGGAATCTCAAAGGAGTCGCTTGGCCGTCCGGGACATCATACCAACGGATCCTGTTTTCCATTTTCCCAAGGGGGAGGTTTCTTTATTATCTCTACATCCCCTACCCGTAATAAAGTGTCTGAGGGCGATTCGCGTCGCAAATGGTGGTCGGCTTTCCGGTCTTTCAGAGATACCCCACAAATATTTCTCTCTTATACCCCCGTGGGCTCGAGTACAGCTCACTGCCGATGTTGATCACGAAGATGGTTCACGAAACGAACGAAAGAAGGAAGGAATAAACAAACAAACAAACACAGCAAAGTGGAAGACGACCTCAGTGGTCTTGCTCTAGTCCATCATATCATGTAACGGAGGATACCTAAAAGTTGAATTGCGCTACCGGCATGGAATGTAGTGCCATGTCTTTTGGGTTGGGATATAAACTGTCGGTTTTGGAATCTCGCGTTGTCTTGGGAATGCGCCTTGAGAGTACACCATTTTAATGGCTGTTTTGAATTGGGAAGCTATCGTCGATTGGAATTACTTTTTCTCGTTCTGCTCGTTATTGTTGGAAGGGACATCGCTGGGCGTCTTGTGTCACTTTCTCTATTGTCTCCCGCGGATCTCCATTCAATTAGCAGGAGCCCGCAATATTTTCTTATTTATTTCACGGTTATCTCAGGCTGGGCGATGGATATACCCTTTCGTTCATTCAGTGCGGGAGGAGAGCAAAGCAGATAGAAGGAGAAGAGACCACGATGGAAGGTCAGCTTGAAGATTGGTGATCAAGCTAAAGCTCAGCACCAATATCAATATCAATATCAATAAACAAATCATAACTTTCGAACACTACATTTCTACCCGGTCCATTTCACGTGAAACTGAACTGTTCTTGAATTTCTACTGTGACAATATGTGAACCTCCAGCCGAGTGGTTGGTTGGCTGCAAGTTGTTTGCAATGATCCGCATGTGTGTAAGTAGGGTTTGTTGATGTCATGCTTTTGCAGGCCTGTCCTCTAGAGGGGCATTGTCTTCTCACTCATGCATGCCAAGATGGCATGACTACCAACGATATCTCAACTGAGGAATTCAGACCTTCGTATGGCTCACACACCGAAATTGAAAGTTTTACCACCAACACTTATTTGCCATTTCTCCCTCTCTCTCTCTCTCTCTGCACTTTTTCTTTTTCTTTCTCAATGACCAAAGGCGCAGTGCGGCCGGGCGCGACCACACCCGGGCCATTGCGGCCCAACCTTGATATTATGCCAATTTAAGAGAAAATTACAAGCAGCAGGGATGCTCAGCAATGCGCATTGCACCGCGTCAAACACTCACTTGTCTTTTCTTTGACTCACCGAACCAGAGAGGAAGCCCTTGCCCTGAAGCCCTAATTGTTTTTCTGTGTGTGTATTTTTTCTTTTCTCATGCCAGTTGTCGCAAAATCTTCGTACCTCTGTGTAAGCTGCTAGTTGTACATACCAACGTCGCTTTTGTCAATGTTTGTCTGATGTGTCACATCTCACGCCCCTAATAAACGCTCAGGGGGAAATGGGGACACAAATCGCAGCACAACAGAAGCAAAGAGGTGTTTGCCTTTTTCTTGTTCTCTTGTCCTCCGTCTCCCTCGCCGTCCCCTCCTGTGTGCGATATACTGTGCTGTGCGCCACGGGGCAGAAAATTTTTATAATTTCGGTCCGGGGCAAAACTGGAACTGGAAGCTGGCACATCAGACGAAACGCAGGGGCTGCACGGACGGTGGGAGCAAACAAGGGACAGGGAAGACATGCAAGGGGGGCTCTGGCTAAGTTGTCTTGCTTCTTTTCTTCTGTCCAGAGTCGTTGTTATTGCTTTTTCTTGTGTGTTTCGCTGTTTTGGAGGTTTGATTGAGGTTGAAAAGAAAAGTAACCACCTGGTGACTTATATCGATATCTTCCTCGTAGGTAGACTGCCTACCCTCCTACCCTAGCAGCGCATGCAATGCCTGTACTCCAGTTTTGATATGTCTGGCTCGAGTCAAGCCGCGGGAGGATTCCCCTGGCAGACATGGCGCACCGCCGCCGTAGTACGGTGCAGCACACTTATAAGTCATGATGCGGTACAGCGGAGCCTCCCGTGGCACTTTCTGATGATCGTCCTCCATCATCATCTTACTTTATGCTACCCGTACTACGCACCTCTTGGTATAGGGAACCAACATAAGCCGTCTGACAGCGAAGGAACGGCCAAAGCCAGAGGCTGAGTTGCGCGAAAGAGCAGGTCGTTGGCATGATGATGATGATGATGGCTTTGGCGATGCGAGGATCTGGCCGCCAGGATCTATCTCGCTTCAACCGGACCCCGGCCTACTGTGTGCTCGCTGCGACCTGCGCTGCGACCGACCCCTCGACCGGCAGATCTGGTTCCGTGCACTGGGTTTGCGGGCGCTGCAGCATTGAAACATTCTCAAAATTCTCCTTGTGGACAGCGGAACACCCGGCATGTTCTACGACTTCGAAAAGATGGGACGAACGCTGCCGTTGTCAATTACATTGCTGCATCAGCTTACTTCGGCCTTTACACAATTGACGACTGCTCCACCAACTGACGGGACCTAAGGCACTGTGCCTTTGCGCTGGCGGCGGGGAGGCGCTGGGGAAAGATGCAATGCGACGCGGGCCGCCTCCCATCAAGTTAAGTTGACTACTCTTAGATAGTTCTCTCGGCGCCATCTTGTTCGTCCTTCCTGCACGGCTCGGCACGGCAAGGAGAGGAGAAGAACCCACCGCGTTCGCGATTACGGGGCCTACTGCGTGCTGCACTGCATTCATTCAATTACCGGTAGCATCGAAGTGTTCGGTAAAGTTAAGTCAGGTTACATGTAAGTGGTTCTTCCTTAGTCGCGTCTCCGTCCGTTCCACTTTCCACTTTCCCCCCATGCGTCAACTATGCTGCCGATGGGAGAAATGCCATTTTTCTTTCATTGTCATTCAGTCGCAAATTGGATTGCGTTCCCAACAAGCATGCCGACCGGAAGACAACCCACAACGGCGGACGGATGGCCCCCAATCTTGTTCCCCTCCACAAGCCAGGCCGACGACACGGGAGAATCGCAGACTGTGTGCGATCGTCGCGTGTGGCTGGTGAGCCCTTGGACTGTACTGTACTGTACTGCATCCTCCGTGTCAAAGGAGCCAGGTTCCCTCAAGGGCGTGGATGGAGTGACTGTGTGAAACTGCTCCCAAGTACCTCAAAAGTGCACACTCTCCCACACACCCTTCCTCACCACCACCCCCCTATAACGAGAAGAGTAGGTAGGTAACTTCCACCAACCTTCACACTCGGTGCCAGAAACTGGCGCACACCCTCTCGTTGGCTTCCTTAACGCCGGTGCTGCACGGCACAACCAACCACAGAGAGAAGGGAGTGCGACTGTGTACTGTATGCACGCCGCCCGGGTAGAGCACCCAGCCATTGATCCATCCCCTCAGCAGTGTCCAGCAAATAACACGAGAAATATTTACCAAGTTGGCATGTCTCGCGAATACTTTGGAGGCTCTGGGCCTCAGCAAACACCTGACTCGCCGAGACATGTCAAGGAAGGGAGAGAGGCTAGAGAGGCATCGCCAGATCGATCTGTCTGAGACTCGCCATTCCAAGCCCTTCCCGGCGAGCCGGGTTCGCGCGCGCGCGGCGCATTCAAAGACTTAAGAGTCTGAGATCTCAAAGATCAGGGCAAATTCCGCCGATTCCCCCATTCCAGGCTCCTGACATCATTTTCATGCCTGGAGCGATGACATCGGCTAGGATGGGATGGGGAAAAACAGGGTCCCCTTTTCTGGGAGGGGGAGGGTTTTCGCGCCGCACACGCGACGTGACTGTGTGAACTTTGATGTGATGTGATGGGAGCACGCCCAGCAGCGATATCACCCACCCATCCATTGGCTTCGGCGTCTACAGTGCGTACCCCAGAGTTGGAGCCTCCTCAGGTATTCCCAGGCCACAAGCCAGGCAGGCACGCATGGAACAGGGAAGCAGGCAGAGAACAAATGCAAATGCAAATGCAAATGGAGGGCTTAAGCGCTGCTGCTTTGATCCGAGTGGATAGACGCAAGCCCGCAAGCAACCCAAATCTGCACTTTTGGCTGTAAGTACAGTAGGGCATGTATCATGTCTTTTTTTCCTTGCTGCTCGGCAGTTGGAAAGAGGATGCGGCCAGTTCTTGCGGCCTGACTGACAGACAGAGGGGACGGATCGCTCAGCCTTTTGGGGGCCGGATTTAGAAACAAGACATGCATCTGGGGCACTGCACTGCACTGCACTGCACGCACTGCACTCTAACTTGGGACGACGATCATGCTGCTGCAGGGTAGAAACCGCTATGCTACAGCCTGGTGCAGTATGAAAACCCAAAGATAGCAGAGACCTAATCTAATGTAGGGAGCGTAGCCGTGCTACAGTACGACCTACCTCCTGGGTAGACAAGATGCAAGGCAAAGTGGCCGGGGCTTTGAGATTCCCTCTCAAGCTGCAATCAATCCTGCCTTCTTTGCATGCATCGCTTGGGTATTCTCAACTCACTGCCGGTGCCGTCTTCCCACTCGCTTCAGAGAGGTAACTTGAAGGTGCGGGAGAGCGATGCAAGTGAGTATATGCGATGCGCCTCGTCGCGATGCGGTGCGTTGCTCAGCCTTACTGTACTGTACTCTACTTACTACTTCCCCCTTACGCCCACTCCCCCTCTCCTGGTACATTCGGGACGTCGCGAGCGCCCCAGTGTCGCGGGACTTCGAAAAAAACTCATTCAAACTCCCTGGTTTGCGACCGCCG